AAATTAAAGTTATAAAATAATTTTAAAAATATATATTAATATTAATGATTTTTAATTTAAATATTACAAATTTAACTATTGTTATTATATTATGAAATAAATAATACTTTATATAAAATATTTTTTATTATTTCATTAAACTATCTATAATTTTATTACATATAAAATATATCCAATAAGAATTACACTTTTTATAAATTTTTTATGAATGCAATAATATCAGGTAAAATATAATTAGAAATAAAATTGGGATTGCGATCAAATTTTATAAATGTTATATCATCAAGTGATTTTTGTCTAATTTATGTAATGTCATTAGTTTTTTGAACAAAATACAATTAAAAATAAAAACTATTATTTTTATTTTATTGGATTAAACCCAGTTCAAAGTATTTTTAATTTTGAATCGAATCAGTTCGATCGAAACAGTAAAGAATATTTTCGCTGTTCATTTAAGAAAAACCATGAAATATTATATAAATATCTAACGATTTTAAAATTTCTAAGACTCAAGTTAGGAATCTTTATAAAACAAATTAAAAATCTTATCAGTTAAGTTAATCCTTTAAAATTAATTATTGACATGTTTTTGCTACCTTCTAATCTAATTTGATCATCAAAATATATCCCTTCTCAAATAATGTTATTGAATGTACATGTGATTTTGCATCCACTCATAAGCTTCACAGCATAAAAGCAACTAGCATATTTTGCTAATTAATTTATTTTAATTTTAATAATTTGATTTAATTATCTCTAATAACTCATGAATAAATGAAAATTTCTTATCAGCATCGAAACTCAAATTTAATACAATGATCATCCGACATGATAAGTAAAGAAAGCAGAGATCATGTTATATTCATGATTTATTTTCACATGTTATATTTATGCTCAAGCTCAAATATTCTATGTGTTATCATTATCATGTTAATATCTAATTATCATTTAAATGATTATTTCTCTATATTTTTTTCTATAAAAAAGACCCATTGACGCATTGAAATACCATAGAAAGCTTGAGATCTTGTTTCGGCTTGAATAATTGAGAAAACCATTGTATCCCTACCTGTTAACATGTAAATTCTTTTTTTGTTTTTAATGGTGAATTTCTAATAAAAATCATGAATCGAAGCACAACTAACCCGTAACTTCTGGAATTGTATTATTGTACGAGAATATGTGCATTATATTTTTTTTTATATTTTCTATTTAAAATTATATCAAAACTATTTTTTTAAATTCTTAACATTAACATATAAAATTATTAAAAAATAAAGCCTTCAGGAAAGAATACACCCTCATCCAGTGAAAGTTCAAAACACGAGCAGTTCTGCAATTCTTAACTTGGTGGACCAGCAAGGAATTTCCAACTTCAAAATTCAATAAAGGGGTCCAAATTGGCAGCATGGGCCAACAACTCATGCGACCCTCCTCCCGCATTTATGTATTGATAAAGTCGAACGACTTGAAAAATCATAGCTCTACCCCTTAATTAATTGATCAATTAATAAAGTTCAGCGACTTGAAAAATCGTAGATCAACTACTTTTCACGTTGAAAGTCAACCTTTTTAAGGCTATGTTTGTTTCCCGGAAAACAGTTTCCGGGAAACCATTTTCTAAACTTTCCTGTGTTTGTTTGTCATTAGAAAAGTTGGTCAACGGAAAACATTTTCCGGTCAACAAAAAACACTTTCCAGTCAACGGAAAACACTTTCCAGTCAACGGAAAACACTTTCTGGTCAACGAAAATATTTTTTAGTCAAAAAAAAAAATTTGCTTAATTTTCAGGAAAGTATTTTTCTTTTTGCTGTGTTTGTTTTCCGGAAAGTGGTTTCCGGGAAAACACTTTCCAAACTTTCTTGTGTTTGTTTTGCAGGAAGTGATTTTTGGGAAATCACTTTCCAAACTTTCTTGTGTTTGTTTGCTGTTAGGAAAGTTGATAAAAGGAAAACACTTTCCAGTCAAAGGAAAATTTGGCTTGATTTTCAGGAAAGTGTTTTCCTGAAAAATTTGGGAGGAAAACACTTTTCGGAAGTTGTGAAAAGTTTAGAAATGTCATTATTTGCTGATTATATCAAATTTGATCCTCAAACTTTTGATTGCTATATATATTTTGTTTTGAATATTTATTTTTCAATTTCATTTCTTAAAATTTAATTTTTATATTTACTTTGGTTCTCATTTTTATAATTGTTATTTGCTTTTCTCCTATTAGTTTTTTATTGAATTTTTTTTTTATCAAATTTGATCCTCCTTCTTTTGATTGTTATTTATTTTATTTGAAATACTTTATGAAATGTTAATTATTATTATTTTAATTTCTTCATCTTTTTTTTTAGATTTGATCTTTATTATTTTGATTATTATTTATTTTATTTGAGATAATTTATGATTTTTTTTTCAATTTCATTATTATTCAACTTTTTAATTTGTAAGATTTATTCCTTATTATTTTAATAAACTTGATAAAAAAAAATATTAATAAATTATTTTTCAGTTTATTTTCCATGACATAACCAAACACTGGAAAGTGTTTTCCAGTTCATTTTCCATAACACTACCAAACATTGGAAAATACTTTACTTTTCAGGAATTCATTTTCCCCGGAATTTACTTTCCTGAAATTCACTTTCCCCGGAATTCACTTTCCAAAAGAAAACAATTTTCCTGCAAATAAACGGGGCCTAAGCCAACCATCTCGTCCTGCACCTTCCAGCGGCTGTGATCTATTTTCTTTACTTTACTTGTAGCAAGTTCAGCGATGTTCATTATTTCTTAAATCAAAGTATTTTTTAAAATATATATTAAAACAATATTTTTTATTTTTAAAATTTATTTTTATATCCGTACATAAAAAACACATAAAAGAATTAATTTTAAAAAATCATTTTTTTACAAAAATATTTTTCATTACAGAAACAACAGGAACTTAAACAATCTATAAAGAAAATATTAATCAGGTCTCCAATGTATCAAAGGATTTTCATTTAGATCCTTTTATTATTTTAAATTAACAAGACTATTAGCAATCACTCGAAATTCACTTGATTTTCTTCTTGATAAAAAGCATGAATTGAATTACTTCTTGGGGCACCGAAAAGCGAGCGTCCGTCAAGACTGATTTGTCATCGGTCTAGTCTACAAGCTCAGCCCTCCTCCGTTACTAGATTTACTAGATAGGTGGGATGTGATATGTCAGGTCGCTCTAATTTATTTTTTTATTATATATATATATATATATATATATGAATTTTTAGGATTTTTTTTTCAGAAGTGTTGCAAAGATATTACGATCTGTTTATTTATAAAAAAGAGTTTTTTTAAGTAAATTTTTTAAAAATAAATTATTTTTTTTTATATTTGATCGTATGATAAAAAATAAATTGAAAAACACTTTTCAGTATTTTGTTATATCATAAAAATAAGCTTAAAAATAACTTGTTAATGCTTTATTTTTCTCAAATTTATTAAAATAATGAGGAACAAATCTTACAAATTAAAAGGTTAATTGAGAATGAAATGAAAAAAATATTATTTCATAAATTACCTCTGATAAAATAAATAATAATAAAAATAATAAAGATCAAATCTAAAAACTAAAAAAAATTAAAAAATGACAAAATTAAAATAATAATAGTTAACATTTCATAAATTATTTCAAATAAAATAAGTAGTAATCAAAAGAATAAGGATCAAATTTGATAGATAAAAAATTTCAATAAAAAAATGACAAGGGAAAAATAAATAATAATTATAAAAATAAAGACCAAGGTTATTATAAAAATTAAATTTTTAGAGATAAAATTGAAAAATAAATATTCAAAACAAAATATATCTATATATATAGCAATCAAAATTTTGAGGATCAAATTTGATATAATCAGTAAATAATATGATATTTTAAAAATTTTTCACAACTTTCAAAAAAGTGTTTTTCATCCAAATTTTTCAGAAAAACACTTTCATGAAAACTAAGCTAATTTTTCTTTGATTGAAAAGTGTTTTTTATTAGTCAACTTTTTTAACAACAAACAAATATAGGAAAACATGAAAAATAGTTTATCAGAAATCACTTTTCGATAAACAAACATAGCCTATATATATATATATATAAAAAAAAACCAAGGAGAAGAAGACCTGCATGGGCATGAAAAGAAAGAAAAGAAGTTGAGGAGAGAAAAAAAAA